CAGTAACATCAACAAAATAGTGTGATCACCGAAATATAATAAACAACAGATGGTGACAGATAACAAAGGCTACCTGTTTATTACCCCAGAAGCATTTTTCAACAGAAACTGCGCGATCAGACCAAAGGACAGACCAAAGCACACGAGTGAAAGAAAATTGTAGTTAAGCCACTCGAATAGTACCCAGATGGCTGTAGCACTGATTAAAATGCCAGCTGAAATTTTCTTGTTTCTCCACAACATGCTATCAGCAGCTACAAATCCGAGGAAACGTATTCAGTATTGCTACAGAGCCATAATGAGATAAAGACGATAATGTATAAAACTACCGTACATTTGCCTCCACCCAAACAATGGTGGATTGGTTTTTGACGTCCAAATAGCCTACTGAATTGAGCACTAACAGAGCTTTCACTTTCCTCTTGAAAGAATGACGCAGCTTTATGTTTCAGGTCACCCTCAGAAATAGAGTCCATGATGTTCAAAAGATTCTCAGCTGTTATTCCTTCCGGCATTTTGTTCTTTCTTTTTTCTTTGGACACATAAGAAGCTAAGTCAGTATCAGAAGAATAACACACGACACAAAGTCATTACGGAAAGCTGCAAGATTTATGTAGACCAAATACTGGTAAATCATGTTGCTCGGACTCTCCAAAAATGTTGTCACACCCATGTTGGATCCTCCCAAAATGCAATACTTTGGAGGATCTAATGCACACTTGTCAATATTTTTGAAGAGTCCGGGCAACATCGTCAACAACCAAAGAAAATAAGTTTTTGGTAAGTAATAACTCAAAGTAGTAGAATATTGAACAAGAACACAAATCATATATTAGCATTACAAAATAAAAAGGTACCTCAGAAGAAATAATGGAGCAGATGTGGCACACAGTATTAAAGAACGGAGCAACCCGAAAAGGAAACTAAGAAGTTCGCAAAAAAAAACATGAACACACACATACAGCAAGGAGAGAAGCCTAAAAGTCATCAGAAAGTCCGTGTCTTCCAGTGAAGCAACAAGTCATACAAGATTAATCCCCAAACATGACACAGGAAATCTACTGATTGTATGAAATCACACGACTAGTCACATTCCAAAAGCACTTAACAATCAGTTTCTATTGCTTAGCTTAGGCAGCATGAATTCTTATTTGCTATGATAAATGATACTCTTCCGTCTAAAACCAAATGCGGAGAATCTGAAATGGTACTGATATAGATATCAATAGAACCAAAGACCTCATATGTACACTAAAATTTATCAAAAGGCGACGAGATAAAGAACGACAAATGCTTCAGAAACCAAAAAGAAACAATCATTCAGAAAGAACCAAAATCCCTAAAACCCAAAAAGGTAAAATATAGTGTACAACAACAACAACATACCCATTGTATTCCCACAAGTCAAGTGGGGTCTGGGGAGGGTACAGTGTACGCAGTCTTACCCTACCTCGTAGAGATAGAGAGTCTGTTTCCAAAAGACCCTCGGCTCAAGTAACACAACGTAAAGACAGTGTAAAGAAGAAAATCTTTTTTGTCAAGTTTATGCATTACTAAAAAGCTAAGATCTTTGCAGGAGAAAACCTGATAAACCTAAGTAGAAACAAGAACTTAAATTAGAAGATTTCTAGCAAAGGATTTCATCATTGAGTTCAAATAAAACTTCTAAGGTATACACACACAAATCACAGATATCAACCAAATTATCACTCAACCCCCATCCATGGTACGAACAACAACAGATAAGATAACTTTGTCCACCAAAGCTACAACAAATTGAAACAAATCACCTAGTATTTCGTCTCGGTTGGGATTTAAACCCGAGACCTCATGGTACTCAACCCAATTCATTAACCACTACCCCACACCCTAGGTTACAACCCCCAATCTACTTATATTGGTTCAATTTTCTTCATAACTTGAACCTTTTTTCTTAGGCAATTCTTAAGTAATCCTAGTTTTTCCTAGGGAACAGATCAAAAAGATCTAAGCTTTTTTGACTATCTAACATAATTAACCAATTTCCATTACAAAAGTTAAAACTTTTCAAAGAATCTTGAAGGTACCCCACTAATTATTTTTTCCACAATTTTCTTAACACACAAAATGTAAAGAACAAATCACAACACTAGAACCATAAAATCAAAAACCCAAAAGGGAAAATGAATGAGTAAATAAAAAAGACTAACCTTTATCAAGAATTATAAACCCAAAGTACTCAAAACTGGAGAAACTAACAAAGAAAATAAAAAATGTGTCTTTTTTAATCAAGAAGATATTATGTTCTTGGGTTTTTGGTCATTTTGAAATTTCTTCACCCACCCCTCAAACCCCGCACCCCACCCCCCACCCCCCACCCCCACTTGTAATTCTCGTAAGGTTAAAATAATAAAATACATATCAATTAATTATAATTATAATTTAATGATAAATTTGTATATATAACATTTATTGATTTGATATATATATATAAAATTTACTGATTTGATTAATTTATACCTATTTAATATAGACTCCCGGGAAGTATTCTATATCAAACTATATATTTCAAATATTTAAATTCAGACCTCTAATTAAAACCAAAAGAATATTAGACATGTGCTATGGTGGTTCTATACAATGGCGGAACCAAGTGGTATCAAAGGGTTCGTCTTGAATAAAAATTACATGGTATATATAAATTTTTATCTCTTTTTCTTTTAAAAAAGTATATTTGACATTTTTGAAACTCATAAACACAATATTAGAGATTGATTTAATGATTTAGAGGTTCAAAATTTATATAGGTCTCAAACATGATATTTTTATATCTCAAACATCCTTAATAGAAAATTCTGAATCCGTCAATATTGGTATAAATTTTTTAATTTCGACCACATACTCACATATTTCATTTCACAAAAGGAATTGAAGTGTGAATCACGTGGAATTATGGATATTTTATCCATAAGACCTTTGGAGGAAAAATCATTTTAATCTTGCCACGACTCAGTTCTCTTTCTTTTAAGTTTTATTTTATCCGTCTCATTTTAAATGTTATTTTAGCCCAAAATAAATATCACTTCTATGAATTTGAAGACCAAAATTGTCAATTTTAAAGAACTAATTCTCCTTAATATTTATCGGTTCTTTAAAAACATCTAATAAATAAAGAATAACTTATAAGTAAATTATACTTTATATTTATTATTATTCTTAATGAAAGTGAAAAAAAAAACTGAAACGACAGTTAAAATGAGATCGAGGGAGTAGCTCACAATATTAAAGAATGGAGTAACCAAAAAATGAGGTCGGAGAACCTTTTGTTTCAATAGGAAAAACTCTTATTCTAGTGTATATATATCCTTTCCAGTGTCAATTCAAATTAATTAAACGACTTCAACAAAAAAAGCACACATATATATAAATTCCAATCAATATGTCACCTCAATGCCCTATTATAAGCACTTTTCGTGTAGTTTTAACTTATATATATTTTTTCTTTAATTTGTAGAAAAAAATAGACCAAGTTAAAACAAAAAAAAAAGATGTGCCGTGTAGAACTTATTATTTCCAATTTCTTCTCCGCAACTCAATCAATGGTTTAAAATAGGTGGAAAGTTTCAATCGTGCCAAAAAAAAATTACACTATAAGTAGGCTTCAACATTCATAATACAAATTCATAGAAGACATTGAAGTATATATACCACCCCAAAAACTAAAAAACAAAAAAAAAAGTTGGAGGGGTTTTAAAAGATGGATTTGAAATTCAAGTTGGTTCATATTGCATTAGGTGTGTTACTTCTAGCACAAATTGGTGAATCTCAAAATGCTAACTTTTGATATAACAAAATATGGTGCCAATGCCAATGCTGATATTAGTGAGGTAAGTCATGCATTTTTAAATACTTTCACTCAAGTGAAAACATGTATCGCACCGAAGGGTGTGACCTAGATAGGGGCAGAGCTAGATGGATATAATAAGGCGGTTCAATTGAATTTCTTTCATCCAAAAATCATAAGAGATGAAAATTAATTCATTTGCATACACATGAATAGTTGAATAAAAGATTCTAGTGGAAATGCAAAGGGGTTCAAGATTTGTTGAAATTCTTAACTTCGTCATTGTTGTGTTTAGTGGAAAATGGAGTTAAAAACATAGAACACGTCTGAATTTACATTCAAATTACAATAGAAATATGGAGTTATACCTTTGCTACAAAGTATTTTAATCCTTAAAGTGAGAACTGTAATTTCTGACGCGAATCTGGATAAGTCGAGCCATATTGGGCATTAGGTTAGGAAATCAAAAAGAAAAAAAATATTAGATATTTTCTTCTTATTTGTCTAAATCTTGAAGAACATAGTTACTCTTGTATTACTGATGAAATGTAACATATGCATGTGAAATAATCAAAATGCGTACAAGCTGATCGTACACCACTTGTCATTGAAACAAAACCAAAAGACCAAAAAAAGCACATTATATATATCTTCAAAACTAATTGCAATTCTTTTTCTACTTTGTTATTGTTTAGGCTGTGGGCAAAGCTTTTAAAGAGGCATGTCAATCAACAAGCCCAAGCACCATTGTGATCCCAAAGGGAGCATTCCAAATGAACCAAGTGAAACTAGAAGGCCCGTGAAAAGGACCTATTGAACTTCAAATCCAAGCCACTTTGAAAGCTCTTTCAGACCCAAGCCAAATCAAGACTGGTGAATGGTTAACAATCAACAAACTTGATTTCTTCACAATATTTGGTGGTGGAATACTTGATGGTCAAGGTAAAGCTGTATGGGAATGCAGAGAGTCCAAAAAGTGCACCAAGCTTTCCAATGTAAGTCATAAGACGTTTCTGTTTGGTCAAACTTTCAAAATCTGCTGACTCTGATAAATGTACTTTTTTTCTTTCTTATATTTGCATATGGTGTAGAATTTGAGCTTCAACTCCCTCACAAATTCCATAATCAAGGGCATAACAACATTGGACAACAAATCATTCCACGTTAACGTGAACCAATGCAAGAATTAACGTTTCTCCAGTTCAACGTCAGTGCTCCAGCTAGTAGCCCCAACACTAATGGCATCCACATCTCAAGATCAAGCTCCGTGAATGTGACAGACTCTAACTTTGCTACTGGTGATGATTGTATCTCCATTGGCGATGAAACAGAACAACTTTACATCACTAAAGTCACTTGTGGACCTGGTCATGGTATTAGTGTTGGTAGCCTTGGTGGCAACCTTGATGAAAAGCCAGTTATTGGTGTGTTTGTTAAGAATTGCTTTTTCATTAGCACTGATAATGGTGTTAGGATTAAAATATGGCCTGCTTCTCATCCTGGTGTTGTCTCTGACATACATTTTGAAGATATCATTGTGCAAAATGTTAGCAACCCTGTTATCATTGATCAAGTTTATTGCCCAAGTGGCAAATGCAACAAAGATATAAGTATCACGTTTTCATGTCTTTCATCGTTCTTTTTTTTGTCATGCATAGATGTTGCACATGGTATTAGAGTCAGGCCCATCCTGATTTGTTGTTCACTGATATTGGGCCCCCATTTAGAAGTGTTCACTCTCCAGTTGAGGTTTGGGCGTGCGGGGAGTGTTATTAAGTTCCACATCGGTAGAGGGATGAAAATTTGGTCTCCTTATATGAACTTGGACAAACCTCCCCTCAAGAGCTAGCTTTTGAGGTTGAGTTAGGCCCAAGTGTCATATCTTTACAGCACCAAAAATAGATAACCTCATAATAGAAAGTGTTTTATCCTAGTTATCTGATCTCCCTCACATTGAATCTATTGTCCACAATCTTACTTACCTTTACAAAAGGCGATTTCCATCCCTTGTATGGTGACTTCCTAGTCATACATACCAACAACGACTTTGAATTTCTATCGTTACGCTAAACTTTCATGCATCCAACTTATCATTCTTTATCGTGTCTTTTGCAGTTGCCTTCACAAGTGAAGATTAGCAAGGTGACATTCCTAAACATAAAGGGTACATCAAGAACTCAAAGTGTAGTATCACTACTTTGTAGCAAAGGCTCACCATGTGAAGGTGTTGAAGTTGGAGACATTGACATTTCATATAGTGGTAAAGAAGGACCAGCAAAATCAAGTTGTGAAAATATTAAGCCAAATTTTAAGGGAAAACAGAGTCCAGCTGTTTGCTCTGCCTTTGCTTTTTCCCCTGCTTCTGCTCCCGCTGCTCCTACTCCTTCTTTGTCTTCTTAATTGATTTTATTTTTGAGTTCTATTGTAAGTTCAAGTTTTTTTTTTTTTTTCATATGATCGTTGAACTTACAATTTTTTCTTCGAAAAATGGTTAAAAATACCCTCAAACTATCCGAAATAGCTCATATTTATCCCTAAACTATATTTCGGCTTAAAACTACCATTTCCGTCAAACTATTAGGTCAAAAGTGCCCTTCTTATTAACGGAAGTTGTTAAATGCCATGTGGATGCCAGCACGCCAATAGGATTCCACTGCTTCATAGACTAAAAGGAAAAGGGTCAAAAATACCCTCAAACTATTTGAAATAGCTCATATTTACCCTTAAACTATATTTCGGCTCAAAGCTACCATTTTCGTCAAACTATTAGGTCAAAAGTGCCCTTCTTATTAACGGAAGTTGTTAAATGCCATGTGAATTCCATGTAGATGCCACATTGCACGCCAATAGGGTTCCACTGCCACATAGACTAAATCACTAAATTTTGATTACTTTTTTCCCCTCATTTCATTATTTTCCGGAAACAAGTTCACCAATCCTCCTTCATTTCGCAGCTAGGGTTTCACAGTTTTCTTCGTCGTTGGATTTTAAAGTGGATATTCGTGGTTGTAGGTTAGTAAATCTTTTTTCTTATTTTATTATGTTTACAACCACGAATATCCACTTTGAAACCCAGCTCCGAAGAAAGCTATGAAACCCTAGCCACGAAATGAGGGAAAAGTTGTGAAATCCTAACTATCATGCTTTGAAATCACAAACATACTGAAATAAGAAATTTTTTTTACTAACCTACAACTACGAATATCCACTTTGAAACTCAGCCCCGAGGAAAGTTATGAAACCCTAGCCACGAAATGAGGGGAAAGTTGTGAAATCATAACTATCATGCTTTGAAATCGTAAACATAATAAAATAAGAAAAAAGATTTACTAACCTACAACCACAAATATCCACTTTGAAACCCAGCCACGAAGAAAACTGTGAAACCCTAGCTGCGAAATGAGGGAAAAGGGGTGAAATCGTTTATGGAAAATAATGAATGAGGGGGGGGGGGGAGAGTAATTAGGATTTAGGAATTTAGTCTATGTGGCAATGGAACCCTATTGGCATGCAATGTGGCATCCACATGACATTTAACAACTTCCGTCAATAAGAAGGGTACTTTTGATCCAATAGTTTGATGGGAAGGGTAGTTTTGAGTCGAAATATAGTTTAAGGGTAAATATGAGTTATTTCGAATAGTTTAATGATATTTTTGACCCTTTTCCGTTTAGTCTATGTGGCAGTGAAACCCTATTGGCGTGCAATGTGGCATCCACATGGCATCCATGTGGCATTTAGCAACTTCTGTTATTAAGAAGGACACTTTTGACCCAATAGTTTGACGGGAAGGGTAGTTTTGAGTCGAAATATAGTTTAAGGGTAAATATGATCTATTTCGGATAATTTAAGAGTATTTTTGACCCTTTTCCGTTTTTTCTTACTCAATTTACTAAATCAATTTTGTAAGTATCATTTAAATCTATAAATTTATGATTTGAGAATGAATTTGAGTGGTTGGCTAACAAGTACTTTGAACCAAATCAAGGAGAAAGAACTCGTTGCGATACTAGAGCCTTTTAACGGAAATGACATTTCAGTTAACAAATAATAGGATGAATGAACCGATAAAAATGAGCCAAACTTTTAACGGATTGCATAGATGAGTCTTTTTTCATAATTCGATAACATGTTTAAAGCCTTTTCCGTTTATAATAAAAGTACAACATCATGTAAAAATGAATGACAACAAATATACAGGTTCAAATCTTGTATAGGTGTGTGTGTATATATATATATATATATAGGTTTAGAATTAAAGTTGAAATTAACCACGTTTGTCCCTTTTTAATTATTATCTTTTAATATAATTTAGTTTATATTTTATGTTTGGACATCTATTGATCTATTTTTAAGTATTGTATTTTAAGTTTTAGTTTTGATTTATATTAGATATATTTGAGAGATTCAATATTATTATTTCTTCTTGTATATTTATATTTTTTTCAACATGCAAAATATAACTTTGATTATATTATTGATTATTGACATGACCGAAAAAACGAATTGAAAAACGCCAAACTAAATCAAATTTATTTGAGTTTGGATTGGATTATACTTTTTCAAAATAAAAAATCGGAACAAATAATACTAACCTAAATCGAAAAATCGAATGCACACTCCTAAATCTATAAAAATTTCAAGTGTTAGAACTTTGAGTGTTAATTATGTTATCGCTTCCATTATCCTGGGTCTAAAGCAAAAAAATTATTATTTTTAAGCATAATGTGTAATATATATTTTATACATATATTATTTCAATTAATTTTTATAAAATAAAAAACCTTCCTAATTATTCGGTACAATTATAAATTTATATAAAAAATATCAATTTTATTTGATACAGTTCAATTCGATCAGTTAAATCATTTTTAAAAAAACAGTTGACCCCCCTACCATCCCAACAAGTCCCAAATAGGTATATAATAAAACCAACCCAAAGTTTCAATACACATTGTTGACATAAAATCGACAGAGGCTTAGAAATACTCTAATTTTTATTTTTTTTGGTAAGATTATTATTTGTATAACTTCCACAATAATGTTTGTATTTTTAAAAAAATTGAAGGATATTCTTAAAAAGAAATACAAAAGTGAAGATGTAGACTTAAATAAAACTCTAGACTACTAGAATTTTCCAAACAAGAAGAAGTTCAAGGACAATTGTTATAACTGTGGAAAAAATGGACATAAGTTTATAGACTGTCGTGTCTCAAAGGAGGACAAGAAATCCAAATATCTCACAAAGACTTAACGAGATTGACTTGTGTGATATGCGCTCTGAATGCAACTTACTAGGAAATTTCAAGAAATAGTTATTTCATATTCCCAAAATAATACGCAAAAAATTAATTTTTATTGCAATTCTAAATCAAGTAAAACGGGAAAGTGGAGAATCGTAGTATCTTAGTTGGTTACATGAACTCTCATGCACTTAGTTGGTGAGAGTTTGATTCCCCATCATATTATCCCCTCTCTGTTCCCCTATCCCTACCCCTATTCAGTGGTGGAGTCAAATTTCGACCAACGTGTGTCAAAACATGAAGAAGTCAAATCACTTAGAAGCTAAAGAGTGTTATATATATATATATATATATATATATATATATATATATATATATTTATATAACAATGTAGTTTTTCGACGAAGGGGTGTGTGACTCCGCCACTGCCCCTATCTCTACACTTATGGCAGATCCAAGATTTTCACTAAGGGAGTTCGGAAAAACAAAAATATATGTGAGGAATTTGAACTTGATCACCTCAACCACTAAATCGACCAAGACCTTCAAAATCTTTATACATACATAAAATTTTAAAAATATCTTATATATATCATGTAATTTTTTATCGAAAATGTTCAAGAACCCCTCGCTACCCTCTAAATCCGCTCTTGTCCTACCCCCAATTTTTTTTTTAAAAATAGACCATGTACAACTAATTTCCAACTTCTTCTCCGCAACTCAATCTATGGTTTAAAATAGGTGGAATGTTTCAATTGTGCCAATTTTTTTACACTATAAAAAGGCTTCAACATTCACTTTACAAATTCATAAATTGAAGTATATACTACCCCAAAAAACTTCAAAAAAAAAAAAAAAAAAAAAAAAAAACCTCAAAAAAAAAAAATGGATATGAAATTAAAGTTGGTTTATTTTGGGTTGGGTGTGTTATTTCTAGCACATCTTGGAGAATCTCAAAATGCAACTTTTGATATAACTAAATATGGTGCCAATGCCAATGCTGACATTAGTGAGGTAAGTCATGCATTTTTTTTCTCTCATTATTTTGTTGATTTCAACCTACTATATACCTACTTAAAAAAAAAAAACCATTTTGTTTTTAAATGATGAATAAAATAAGTACGTTATTACACCGAAGGATGTGGCCTAGCCAAGGGCGGAGTTACGTGTACGAAAACAGATTTAGTTGAATATCATTCATTTGAAAATTATAATGCATAAATAAGACAAAACTGATTATAAATCGTTGAATGTCAGTTACATATATAAAAAGAAGATAGTGTAGTTGCAAACGGAATTCAAAATTTTCTTTAGGTCATAGGTTCAAATCTCAAATGTAATATTTTTTGAACCCCTTTATTAATTTATTTGACTCGGTCACGATCAAAGTCTAGTGATTATGAAGTGAATTAAAATCATGTAAGATTAAGTTTACAATCAAATTACAGAATTTATATGCCTAAGTCTTGAATGACAGAGTTATTCAACATCTGTACTGGTGAAATATAGCATGCAAATGTTATATGACATAATCAAATTACACACAAGTTGATCAACACCACATCAATATAAGAAGAAAAAACAAAGCTAGCACCTTACAATATCTTCAAAACTAACTATACAATATATTCTATCTTCATCTTTTTTTCATTTTTTGGTGATGAAATTTTTTATTATTATAATGTTTAGGCTGTGGGGAAAGCTTTTAAAGAGGCATGTGCATCAACAAGTCCAAGTACAATAGTGATCCCAAAAGGAACATTCCAAATGAACCAAGTGAAATTAGAAGGACCATGCAAAGGCCCTATTGAACTTCAAATTCAAGCCATTTTGAAAGCTCCTTCAGACCCTAATGCAATCAAGGTTGGTGAATGGTTAACAGTCAACAAACTTGATTTCTTCACAATGTCTGGTGGTGGAACACTTGATGGTCAAGGTAAAGCTGCATGGGAATGCAAACAGTCCAAAAAGTGCACCAAGCTTCCCAATGTAAGTCCAGATGTTTCTGTTTGATCAAACTTTCAAAATCTATTTCATCTGATCGGAAAAAAAACATTTGAAAAGAGTAACAGTTTCTATTTGACTACTTTTTTTCTGAAAATCTTTTTTACTTTACTCAGAAATCAGCGTTTGACCATGAAAATTCTGAATACAACT